CTTGTCTCTGCAAGTAAAGCGTTCTAATGTGGGCAGGGCTTTGCCCGTGCAGCAAAGAGAAAATTGGACAGATTTGTTTTTTTAATGTTTTTAAAGTCCAGAGTAGGCTTAAATTATAATATTTGTAAAAATAAAAAGATGCCAAAACCTTGGACAAGATTTCGGTTGTTAATTCTATTCTGTTGCATCCATGTCCTTTAAGGATTTTATATAATTTATTATACAAGTAATAATTTGGTGTTGACCAAGAGTAAGATTTATATAAATGCCGTTTATCATTTTGGTTTGCATTTTCAAGATACAAAAGGTTTTACATAATTGGTTTCGGCTACTGTGTGTTTAATTTCCAGAACAAACTCTTCCTCTTTGAAGAGGAATATCCCACTCTAAGCACTAAAACTCTGAAGCCCGAATGAAATGTTGGGGTTTTTTCGTCTCTTCTAGGTCTGACAGCTACGAAGAACTTTCTCCTTCAATATGGACATTTTTTAAAAGAGCTTGACCTTTCTGTTTTAACCACACTCTGGAATGAGAAGTATGGTAGCAAATTTGACTATGTGACTAGTTCTGAAGAAAAAGAAATTCATGATTATTTCTTAAAACCACCCCTTGAGAAAACCCGTTGTTTTATATGGCTGTTAGAAGACAACAGAGAAAATTATCCATTTCTTCATCAAGCTTTAGATGAATTCTTTAATAAAATGGGTAAGTATACAAAGGTCATAATTCTTACAAGCATTGTATTTTGGCTGTTTTTACACCACATTTGATGGGCTCTGTAAAAGGCCGAAACCTCAGCAGACTACTAACCGCCTCATTATATGGGATCTTCTGTTTTCAGTGCTTAAAAGGCAATCTGGCCATAAAAGGCAAGCCAGCCTTTTTTAGGTTACATTCCACTGTTTTGTTTCATGTGCTACAACCAGCGCGTAAGTTTACCTTTATACATCCATGTTGTCCAGCCAAAATAAGTATGTATCTTTCAGTGTAAGTATTAAGATTCTGCAGCTACAGTCTTTGAGAGGCTTTGGTGGTATTTGATAAAGGATTATAGTAATTATTACTATAATTTCATAGCTCACAATTATGAGTTAGATAAAATATTACTATTTCTGTTTATGGATGTTACTTTGTTTTCCTTTCAATAGATGACCCTACCATTATATTAAAGAAGCAGGGAAATGAAAATATATCGGTAAGTGAACTTAATGGGTATTTGGTATAAGCACAAAAACAAGTATGAGTGTGGTGTTTTAAATATGTCCAAACATTGAGACGTGCATCTCTTGCTTTATTTTACATCATCATCCTTCAGACCTGATTAGAAGTTTACTCTCTTGTTTTAAATTCTCTGCACCCACCCCCCCTCCTTTCTTAAAGCATTTGAAGACTTCGTACTATTTTTCCTAAACTTCTGTCGGTAAAATGCTTTGGATAGAGAAAAAAAGGCAAATAAGGTCATAGGAATAGCATTTACATATTACTTGATAACAGCACTTTGCTGTTAACTTCAAAAAAAGTCCCTCTAAAAGTATCATTTGGGAGCTAAAAAAAAAAAAAAAGAGCCTGACCTATAAACAGAGAGACTCTTACTACCTGCCATATCTGCATATTTACCCTAACAACTGAACTTGAAGCGTGATTCTTTCTTGAGCGTGCTTAACTTGAATCTGCATAATTTTGGACACTAATTATCCTGTATATTTTTACAGTCCAAAGCAACAAATAGGAAGGTAGTGTCACCCAGCTTTACCCTCTGATGCCATTAAATTGTAAGGCTAGGAATTTGACATTTGTTCTGCTAATAAGCAAAGTAAATTTGAAGTGAGTTAGACATGTTTTGCATTTGTTCATTGCAATTTATAGATGCTTTTCAGATTCAACCCATAAGTCTTGAACTGTACATCATTCTGAATCACTTTTTGATTAACATCTTAATGAAAATCCATTCTAATTGGCAGAAGTATATTATATATTTTAGTCAATTATGTGTTTGAGGCACTCTCATGATTCTAGCCTGCAGATGACTTTATCTGTACAAAACCAAGATTTACTTTTGCTACAGAATAAATCTTTAGAGTTAATTGACTAATATACATCTTAACAAGATGTGAAATCCTTTGTTTTTTCATTTCATGAATTGAAAATCCAAGAATGAAGTGAAAGCCATTACAATCAAACTACTTCTATTTCAGCGTTACTTAAATCCTAAAATACAGTGTTAGTAATTTACTGTTAGTAGAGTTTTGTTAATCTATAATCACAGTCCTATTAAAAAGTGAAGATGCACTTTAGTTCCTTCATTATGCGTATCTTAGAAAATTGAAGTGACCAGAACATTGGCCAGACGAAACTGTTGTGTGGGATGTTGCAGCTGCTTAAATATGCAATTTCAGCTATAAGTAGTGAGTAAGCATCTGAGGTACTAAAATGATAGAATATTTTGTTTTTAAAAATAAATGTTCTATGTGTTTAGAGAGGAAAATTATGAAAAGTAACAAAACGGATAAAGTCTTGCAAAGCCCCATTTCTTTTTGTGTTTTCCAGCTGAGGATGGAGTGGAGAGGGGGAAGATTGCACGCTTAACCTTGTAGATCTTGCTGGTCAAACCAGAATGAGAATTTTAATATGAAACTTCATAAAATTTGCATACTGTTTTGGAAATGCATCATAATTTTATTTTAATGAAAAAAGCAGTGACTTTATTTTTTTCTATTTCAGACTAATGGTATCAAAGTTAAAAACAAAAACAAGAAGAAGAACTCAAAAGACTTGAGGGTGAGTAACTTTTGAGCTGCTTGCTACAAATAAGTTTTTTAGAAGTGCTGGCATTCACATGTATAGAGGCTATTTTCCTAAATATCTTCTGGGGATTCATTCTTGAAGTAGTTTTTCCTGAAGTAAAACAATGCTGTTAAGACTCAATACAGATTTGTTTTGCTAAAATATGAATTTGTCATTATAAAATATATTTCTAAACTTGAAAAAAAGTTATTTATTAATAACTTTGTCTCTGGCTGGTTACCAATATGTTCAGTCCATCCAGTCTCTTCATTCTGAATGCGTGTTTTGATCTTAGTTTCCCATATGGGAGTTAATACCGTACACTGACTTCACTACGTAATTGATACTCTATGCTCTATTTTCTTTTGCACTGACAAATAGCACATTTGGAAAAGGACACTCTACCAGTCATTTTGAGAAAGAAAAATGAAATAGATCTGAAATTGTCTTTAACTGTCTTTTCTGATAATTTTTATGGGCATACCAGTGACTGAAGCTGCAGGTGTTCCATTTATTGCTCAGAAAAATCTTATTAGTTGTTCAGGTTTTTTTAATAGATTTTGCTAGGAATAGTATCCTATCTGAACCTTATACTGTCTTTTGTCCTGCTTTTCTAGGATTCTGCTTTATTGAAAGCTTCAGATACAGTTTTCTTTGTTTCCTCCATTCCCATTCTTGAATTTTACTAGAAATTCAAGAGTAAACTTAAGATTTTTCCTATTCTCATCAGACAGGTTTTCCTTTTTCTGACTTGGATGCATTTATACAAGTCTGTATATTTCTAGAGTTATTACATAATAAGAAGTAAAAGACAACTAAAACATTTGTAATGGTGAACATAGAATAACAGGTGTGATATTAAAACCGTATGTAACTAGGGATAACTCAGACTTACTTGTATTAAAATTATTAAAGCTTGAAGGCTCTCAAATGAAAGAAAGAGATTCCTAGAAAGTAAGTGGAAAGAAGTTGTACAAAAGTTTTAACAAAGTTAAGCTGTAGAGTTGTGTTTTTTTTTTTAACCCAAACTCAGTGAAAAATCAGGCATATCTAAGCTTTTGATAAAACTGGTAAAAAAAGACAGTGGTTGGGCTGAATATTCCAATTTCTTTTTCCAAAATAAGTTCTGAAGAATTAATGGTTTTAAGTTAAGAACTTTCACGAGAAGACATAGTACTGATAATTGTACTTAAGTTTTGCAGTACATAGTGTGGTACCTGAACATGATAAAGTTACAGACCAAGATTCAGTGTAAATAAGTTACTCATAGTCTTTACAGTGGATCATTTTGCATATACTTTTGTGAGATAAAAAAATAATAATCTGTTTTTAATTAGTCTATTTTAGTATTATCCAGTGGAGTTAGTACAGCACCACGTATTTTAGTATTATCCAGTGGAGTTAGTACGGCACCACGAGAAGAAGATAAGACATCTATAGAAGAAAATACTTTGTAAGTGCCATCATGCGTCTTTGCTTTCACTGGCCAGACTCCAAAGTGCATATGGAAGAAGACAGAGTCTTAGAAACACCAAGTCTAAGTGTTAACATCTAAGTGTTTTTGATATGAGCTTGTGTAGAGCTATTACTTCTCTGCTTCCAGGACAGGTGTAATGGGTATTAGAATTTTAAAGATCTTAACAATGTAGGAATTAATCAAATGGTTGCCAGGCTGCAGCCCAATGCATCTTCTAGGACAAAAGCTATTAATTCAAGATCTTACTGGCTTCACGTACCATTTTAATGTAGCAAGAAATTAGTTGATAGATTTGTACATACTCTGTCAGCCATAACTGAACTTTGCCATCCACGCCATATCAAGCAGGTTGTGATGTTGAATTGAGATAATCGGTAGTGCATTGCTTAAAATTTTTGTCATAATTGGGAGTCAAACTCATATTCTGAGCCTGGTTTTGCTCTTGCTTATAGATGTGAAATCTGCTAGACAAAAGCTGGGCCTTATTGTTATTAGCTAGTGTCAGGTCTGTTAATAAGTTTAACAGTTAAGTATTTTGGGGATAGTGTTTATTCTGCTTGTTAGAAAAAGGTTTGCTATTGGGGTATATTGTTAGCACTATGTAGTTACCATACAGTATACTGTTTTCAGTATATGTGAGAATACAATTATTTTCAGAGACAAGAATCATTTTTCATATGCACTATTTCTTTCTTCTCTCTCTCTCTTTTTTTTAATGGTACAGAGATTTTACAAATTCTGATGAACCATTTGTAATCCCAGAATATCTTCAGCAGCAATTAGAGGAATTTGAAGCTCTCCGTGACATTTCAAATAGTAACAGTTATCAAATATTTTTGGATAATAACCCAGCTCAAACCTGTGAGAGCTTATATGAGTATGTATACATTTCTGTGCTTAGTAGCTTAAAGGGTTTAATATTCATAATTCTTACAACGTATTGTATTAAGTCCAGAACTTTGAGTCATGGTGGTCTGCTATATGTAGGTATGTAATGCTTTGAAATATTTGAATATTTTTAGTAAGTTGTGGATAAGGAAGAGTATTACAGAAGACTTTTATGCTTAGCTAGAACACCATCTTAAAAAGGGTTGTTCTTCAGTAGTTCTAATGTTATTTGCTTTTAAGTATTAGTGTGAAAACATAATGTGAAATGCGATTTTAGAATTACATGGAAAAACTTTGATTAATAATAGCAACTTCTTTTTTTAAAGATATTTCTCTCAAATCTTGGAACAATACGGCCCTGTGGAAATTAATAATAAAGTACTAGTTGGGGAATTCTATGAAAATTTCCCTGAAGAAGCTCGAAAGATTGTAGAAGATGAAGGTGGTCTGAAATCTTTTCTTCTGAAATCCCGTAATTTCAGTATGGTGGATAATCTTATTGGCTTAAGAAAGCATGCAGTTCTTATTAAGGAAAATACAAACCAAAACGGGACTGGAGATAACGAAGAAGAAAACGGTATAGTCCGTGATGTGCAAGAAGATTCGCCTTATAACAAGCTACAGTTAAATCCAGCTGCTAAGGAATTCAAACCGCTGTCTTATCCTAAGCAACCCCATATATCAACCTGTACTGACTCAACAGTAGCAAGTTATGAGACTCCACAATATTTGCCCTGGTCTTTTCCTACTTCATGTAAAGCGATGCATTCTTTGCATAGTCAGAATACTGATACCATAGAAAATGAGCTGTCGTTTTCAGATATTTTCCTCAAGTGCTTTGATTCTAAAAATCCCCGTATATTTTTGCCTCAAACTTCCTGGGGTTATCGATACGAAAGAATATTGCCAGTGCCTTCTCAAATGCATCTCATGTCAAATGTTGCTGAGCAACCCAGTTATATTTATGCTGATCGTGTAGCTCATCAGGATAACGATGAATCAGCAATTTCAGACAGAAAATGTATCTCCAGCAGTTTTATACCAACTGAAATACAAACATATGAAGACCCTTACTGCCAATGGGAGAACTTGGATAACACATTTTATGAAGACAATTTTGCTGTTACAAATAGTACAAATGAAGCTGAATGTGGTATACAGGTTATTAAGACAGAAGAAGAAAGCAGAGTTATTCCTCTAATGAAAAACAATCCTCATACAAAGATGATAGCAGTTCAGGTAAGAAATTAAAGTGGAACAATTATTTGAGAGCTTTTAAGTGATAAATGCCAGCGTTGAGAACTGGAAAGTGCAACTCCATTTTGAATTAATTCCTTATGACTTCTCAAAGGGTCAAATGTTGCATAGAGTTTCAGGAGCAGGTATTCAAATAATACTTCCAGCCACCCAAATGTAAGGATCTTAAAAGTAATATTTATCATTCTCTAGGACTTATCTCCCATAAAAAGGCAGTGAGTTGGAAGATACCAAGGTGTTTATCAGACTGAAAATGTCCTTAGAATGTGCTGTTTAAGTTGCCAACACTTACTACAACTGCTCTTGGTTTTCATTTGTAATTCTTTAAAGCAATGGTCACTGAATTTTGTTCTGCCTGAAATTTTGACAGGATCAAAAGAGGGAACGGGTGCATGTCATTTAAAAATTTGCTTCAGAGGTTAAGGAAAGTCTTTCTGTGTCATTATTTTTCTTCTTCTAATTATTTCAGTGATTTGTTTTAACTTTCACAATATTTGAGGATTTTCATAGTTTGTACATTCTAACAATTGCTGGCTGATGCTTCCCTTGTGGTCTTACACTGGCAGCCAGGCTGTAGGGTGAGTTCAGAGGCAAACTCTCTCACATTTCCTTTTGGAAAGTGGAGAGACACCACTTCTGGACCGAGCCTCACCTGTGTACTGGGCATAACGTGCATGATATGGAATAGACTCTTGGCCAATTTGAGTCTCAATCCTAAACCTAAGGTTGAATCCTAAGCCAGTAACTGGGGCTGTGCTCCCTCACAGCTTCTCCTGCACTTGCAGATGCTGGCACTGCAGAGAAGCTGAAAAGTCCTTGACTGTCCTGGCAGCAACTATAAATATGACTATGTTATCAGCCTTCTTCTCAGCACAAATCCAAAACACAGCCTCACACTGGCTACTATGAAGAAAGTTAACTCTGTCCCAGCTGAAACCAGGACAGAGGAATAGCTGTTTATACCTGTAAGATAAATACTCTTTTTTTTTATTATTTCCTTCTAAATTAGGAAAATATTCATGTTTTTTTCAAACTTGTTTTGTGTACAAAACTTTTCTTCAGTCTTTCCTGAGCAGTTGCTGACAGTTAGTTTCCTATTGGTCTTGGTGGATGAATTTTGTCCCTTAGCTGACTGGGCTTTTAAAATGGGATTTCTGTTTGGTTCTTGAACACATGCAACAAAGAGATAACAGAAGAGGCAACAGTTTTCAATTTCGTGAATTCTGGTTAGAGATCAAAAGATCACTAAGCAACAGATACGTTTGTGTTGCAAAAGTGTGGTAGTGCAAGGCATTTAACATTGTCTGACTATGATTTTTAATAACTTGCCGGAACAGCCACATCATAAACTGAATCTTTAATATGTTGCATGATTAGATTTTTAAACTTGAGTTCTTTCAATAAATCCTCGGTGGGTGGTATTAGAGGAAAAGAAGCAGGGACTCTGAAGGTGGTTGAGTCTAGGCACTTCTCAGTAGAGGACTTGTGTAGTAGATCTTGAGTTTAGGAGCAGCCACAAAACAGCTCCTCAGTGAGCTGTCAGACACTGGTTTTGCAAGTCTTTTCAGACATTTAGAGCAGAGCACAGCTATGCTTAAAGACTCAAAGCACAGTTCTCAGTGGAAGTACTTCATGATCAATTAAACTAGTGAAAGATCATGAGAAAAAAAGTGCTTTCATTATAGATTGAAGTCAGTTTCAGAAACACTTGAATAATTTCTTCTTGTGTTGTAGATAGACCTACTTCATAATGTAGTTGAATTTGTAAAATTGTAGGTTAGGTACAAAAGCTCCAAAACAGAGCTAACGTACTAGTTGCATGTACAAACTGAAAAGCTTTTTAGTTAACTAATGATTCTATGTATTCTAGGTAAATCATGAAGTAGCTGATGGAGAAACTAATACCTTGCCTTTTCATCCATTTGAAATGCAACAAGTAAGTTACCTGCATATTTATCTTTCTCATGAAGCAGGTTAAAGGAATGCCCAAAAATTTGGTAGTGAAAAGATAAAGGTTCTCTGAAAATTACATGTTTTAACAGATTTGTTTTGTTTCGTTTCGTTTTGTTTGGTGGTGTGTCTGTGGTTTGTGGTTTGGTTTGGGTTTTATGGGGGGTTCTCCTCCCCCCCTTTCATGTTGAGCTGTATTCTATGATGTTGTTCTTGGAAACTTCACATAGGCCCACAGCAAAGAGTCTTTGGAGTTTTGTTTTGTAGCTATTCAGATGTTGGTGTATGTTTTATGGAAATTTAGTGTTTCCTCTCCAAAAATCTTGAGGTTTGATTTTAAATACTCCATTTGGGCATAGAGACAGCCCAGACTGAGGTTAATGGTAGTCTTAGGTCTGTACCAGGAGATAAAAGTGAGAAAATGTGTCCATCAAACTCGTCACATTCCTTTCATGGGCAGAGATGGATGCTCATTTCCTGATCGGGATTGAAACTGTTACACAACTTTCTATTAAAACACCTGCCCCACACACCCAACCAACAAATAAACAACAACAACAAAAAACCCAACCCAACCACACTCAGGATTTTGAATCTTGACTGACAGCAGACTGTTCCTTTTAGATGTCATGAATGTCTGCTGCCCTGTTGTAACAGATACTAGATTGTTTTTAATAACATTTATTTTCAGGGAGATATTCTGCGTATGGAAAAAGAGCATCAAGTGTTAAAAGAACAACTTAAAGAAGCACAGGAGAAATATGAACAATTACAAAGCCGAAGCTCAGAGGAAATCAGTGCTTTAAAAGTGGTCCTAAAAAAAAGTGTTGAAGAGACTGAGGTAATGTTTTTATCCATGCAGTGGTGGGACAAACTGCAGAGGCTCACAAGATTAGTTGTAATTGCTCAACAGTATTTTTGAAACTTGAGTGGTAGTCTTCATTGCTGTGAACTGTAACTCATGAAACCTCACAATCTTTTTGTGTCATCTTGCTTCAAACACACTTAAACACAGAGGATATTGGTTGCCTTCATCTAGTGGATGGGTGTTTTGTTTCACCCAGGAACAAAGAAGTGCTATACTACTGACTCTCTCCTTCTTGACTTGTTGGGTTTGCTAGCAGGCTTTGTTTTCTTGAAGATGTCTGGGAGCAAGAGAAGTAGTCCCCAGAAAACGCTATCAGCCTTCTATCACTTTGACTTGATTAATTTTGTAGTTAAAGCTCTAGATGCTGCAGGCTACCCATTTGTCTACACGAGAAGGATTTTTTACATTTAAAAAAAAATAATTCAGGTAGGATGAAAGCCATCTCTCCCCATGCCCTCTCTTTAATCTTTAGTAAGATAGGGCCTGTCATTCAATCTAAGTTAATTTTTTTTTTCTCCTTTCAATGGTGTGTTGGAGTAAACTCATGTGCTGCAGCTTAGGAGCTCCTGAATTCTAACTTTACCATTGGCTGCGAGTGGCCTGGCAAACATTAATATGAGGGATGATGGAGTCTTACATCTGTTTTTCTGTGAGCTCAAAAAGTTTTGAGCTGAAAGCATGGCTGTATGCAGGGTGGATGAACTGTCCATGGGCATATTAGGCACTTTGTTAAAAATATTTTTTTATATTTCCCAATGATGCATTGATGCTTCTTCATCTTTTTTTAAGCAGTTATGGCAGCCACAAGATTCACATCTGTCTTGTTCTGTTAAGAATTGTAACTTCCCAGTTGTTAGTACTGATACAACAGTATTTGTACTGATTTTGAGCTGGATTTTGAGTTGGATTTCAATGTGTATTTGTACATGACACTGTGGAACTGGGTGTTGTCTTTTAGCTTACTGTGAAACAGGGTTGCAAGTATTCTGAAACCAGCCATGTAAATGAGGTGTGCACTTGCTGTGGTTTAGCCCCAGCCAGCCATAAGCCCTGCACAGCACTTGCTCGCTCCCCTGGAGAGAATTGGAAGAGTAAAAGTGAGAAAACTCATGGGCTGACATAAAGACAGTTTAATAGGTAAAGCGAAAGCCGCGCACAGCAGCAAAGCAAAACAAGGAATTCATTCCCTAGTTCCCATGGGCAGACAGGTAGGTGGTGTTCAGCCATCTCTGGGAAAGCAGAGCTCCATCACGCGTAACAGTTACTTGGGAAGACAAACGCCATCACTTTGAACGTACCCCCCTTTCTTCTTCTTCCCCCAGCTTTATATGCTGAGCATGATGTCATATGGTATGGACTATCCCTTTGGCCAGTTTGGGTCAGCTGTCCTGGCTGTGCTCCCTCCCAGCTTCTTGTAGAGAAGAAGCTGGGAGTGCAGGGGCAGGTATGAGAAGCTGAAAAAGTCCTTGGCGTAATGTGAGCATTGCTTGGCAACAACTAAACGATCAGTGTGTTATCAGAATTGTTCTCAGTGCAAATCCAAAAACATAGCCTTGTACTAGCTACTCTGAAGAAAATTAACTGTCTCCCAGCCAAAACCAGCACAGCAGATCATTGCAGGAAGGTATTTACAAGTATGTTGCCCATGCTAAACACCTGAACTAACAGTAAATTAATAGTAAAACTCTGTTACTGTAATTTTCACTGGCTTAGCTTTTGATCATAAATGTCAGCAATCTGCTCTAACCTGCATTTGGATAAAATAATATTTTCAGAAGTAATGTTTCCTTATTTTCTGCTTTTAGGTATCAAAGAATGAACTGGACTGGCTTCATCAAGACTTAGAAATAAAAGTGAAAAAATGGCAACAGGAGAAAAAAGAAAATCAAGAGAACATAAAAGCACTAAAGAACACAGCTAAAAAGCATACAGATACCAATGATAGGTACTATATTCAGATTTACATTACTTTTCTTTTGCTTTTTTCTTTTTTTTTTTTTAAAGCAAGAGTAAGTACAGTTATTTCTGATAAACTGTGGTAAGTTTCAGTATCTTATTGATTCCAAGAGGCATGCAGAGTGAAACGCAGACTTGTTGCCCTGATTATGTCATTCTGAAATTAGTTAAATACAATTCTTGGATTAGAGCTGCTGTTAACAGGATCTACATGAAATGCTATTTAACCTACTTGACAAATACTACTCCTTCACTATTTCAGATCTTCCCATGTCTTTCAGAATCCTTTAGATCTTTACTGCTTTTTCACTTTTCTCCTTTGTGACTTACCATTGCTTTCCTCAGCGTGCTCCTCTGCTACATTATGATTAGCTTTAAATTTTCATTTCCATTTTCATTCTTTCTTCTTCTATTGTACAATCAACACAACCAAACTCTGGTCTGCATCTGTTTTTCTTACACACTTTTTATCTGTTCTGCCACAGAGTCTCTGAAAGGGTAATCCAATGATGCATGTTTCTTTTCTAGTCCTGTCACTCATTTCTCAGATTCGGGTAAAACTGCAAAAACCACATAACTGCATGTATCTCTTGTGTGGGGTTTTTTTACCCATCCTTAACCCTGAAACAGAAGTCTGCAGGGCTTTCTGTGGAAAGTAAATCAATAATATCAATGTATGAATCCAATCATGACCCTGTGTGCAGCAAATCCAGCTGTTCCCCTGGCAATGAGCCCTCCTGGCTATGGTGGAGCAAGAGTCAACTTCAATCAATTTCTACCATAGTCAACAGGCATCCACAAAATTGCGTCACTGATGTACTGAAAAATAAATCCTGTGTCATTTGGTGAAGTATTATCAGTAGCTTTTCCTGAAACATTCTAAACACTTTAGAAATCTTTAAGTGACCTAGTCACTGGCTGTGTCACCAGCCAGATGTTTTATCACAGTAATAGGCTGAAATATGTACGTGTGCTTTCATATTTTGATTTTTTTGCAACTTACAGATAAACATTTAAAATAGCTTCTAGATGTATCTGATAAATAGCTGATGAAAGTGACTTAGTAATTTTTCTAATCAGATCCTGTATTTTTAATGTTCTCTCTCAGTAGAAGACTTCTGTCCTTGAAAGCTTTAGTCTGAGTAGTTTGGGCCAAATCTCTCTTGAAAAATCATTGGCCTACTTTTATATTCGTTTACTGCTTAATTAGGAATACATTTAAATGCACTTACAGTATTAAACAGCATATAAAACATACAGATTTTCACTGCTGCATAATCGTCACTATGGTTACAGAGGAACGTGTCATGTAGTTGCTTGTGAAAATTTTTTAGACCAAGCTTAATAATTGTTTTCTTACTCTAGGTATTTAAAGACCATTGATGAGAAAGAAAAGCAGTATAATGTATATTTAAATACATACATTGAGAGCAGGTAAAACTTGCGTCTTTCAGCAATATTTACATTTTTCTACTAACTTCCTGTTATTGGACTTGGCTGCTTCACTCTGGGTGAAGGCTTAGAAAAAATAAGCACTTTAACCTATATCTATTATTCTCAGTTAGTTTAATTTTATGTATTGGAGGTAAATATTTTATTTTAGATATTTAGAATAATAAAAGTCCGAATTTTCAAAATACTCTCATACATTTCCCTCAATTATATGACAGTGTGTTCTAGAACACGCGTTAGAAGTTGGGTGTGGTGCAGATGTACTGAACTGTTGTATGTAGCTTTGGATCTTCACACACTTGTAGTCCTAAATGTATATAAGGCTACTTAAACATTTTCTAAAACTTACTCATTGCACATAGTATAAAGTCAAGGTTTCATTTATACATACATTCTTTAGATATGTGATCAGGCTCAGAACAGTAATACTTGCATGACAGCAGTAGTCAAGCTTCTGTAAGCTTTTTAGGTTGTATAGTGAAATGTGGTTGAGAAATCACAAGGTCATGTCTGCGGAGCCAGCAGTGTGGCTACATGAGCATGATACTATAGTATACATACTATGTATACTATAGTGTGTATATATATGTATACATGCTCTAGTGGTTGTCAACCCTGCCCACAGCAGGGGGGTTGAAACTAGATGATCATTAAGGTCCTTTTCAACCCAGGCCATTCTATGATTCTATACCTGGAGGCACAAGCTGTACAATGTAAATGCAGATGTGTGGTTCCAAAGAAGGGAGAAGTAATAGCTGTAGAAAACTTACAAAATGCAATACAGTTCAAATACTAATATGCTGTAAATGTTGCTCAAATATCTACCTTATTTTTATTCCACAGTAATAAACTTGCTAATGAGAAAGTAAAGTTGGAAGAGCTTATAAAAAAGAGTCAAGATGACTACCAAGAGTGTGTGAAAAGAGCAGTTAAAGCAGAGGTACAAACAAAAAAAATCTTAAAACACTTTTACTAGAGCTTGGATCATTTTTGCTGATAGGTTGGGAAGCTAACTGGTGAAGTCTTATCTAACAATGTACTTATTTAAATAGTGTCTAAAACTTTCCATAAGCAGATATCAAAAGTGTTAATCAAATACGGGCAAGTGCTGTTCCTGATGTCCTACAAAATGTTGCAGATCATCAAGGCACATAATTATTATTGACCAGGATTAAAAGTGCATAGAATTTGGGGCATATAGTATTGCCCCAAACAAAATTCAACTAGTAATTCTGTTTCATACTTATCCTTGTTATGAAGAGATTTCATTAGTAAGAATAACTATAGGGAGATAAAAAATTTCTTCTTAAAAGTAAATCATGGTTAGGGAATATATAGCTACTTCTTGATGAGGTAGAATCAGAATGCAACAACTAACTTGTGTGTTTCCCTGAAAGGAGGCGAGTCCTGATAAATACCAAGATTTTTTTCTAAAACAGTGTTTTTTATACTGGAAGTGCTTTGAATATCCATGAACAATTCTCCCTTCTTTAGAAGGGCTTGAAGGCCATCTTGAAGGCTGCAGGAGGATTTTATAGAAGGGTTAGTTTGTTGATCCATATCTTCAGCCGTGCAGTATTTAAAAAGCTGCCTTAATCACTTAAAGTAAGTGTGTGAGTGTGGAACATCTGTGGAAGCTTTCTACTGTCAGTTGAAGTGAAGATAGCCTTTTTATCCTCCTGAAGGTCGGCCAGGGCTGTTAATTCCACTTGAAGTTCCTCACCGTACTTACTATGTGTGTGTGTGTGTGTGTGTGTGTGTTGTATCATGAAACTATTGTTGCAGATTTTGTTAAAATCTGTTTTGAAGTTTTATTCCTTGTGCTACAGCACTGCTTTTACTGCACTTTTTTTTCACACAGTTATGTTTTGTTACAGGTATTAGTACTTAAAAACTGGAAGGAAACTGAAGTATGCAAGCTAAATGGCATAGCTGCCAATGCAGAAGCAAATCTCAATATGTTGAAGTTGTGGAGCAGGTATGAAGAGTTTACACCAGAAATTTCAGTACTACTAGTTGCTAAATGCAAGTAACTACTGAATGTTTAATCACAATCATTTAACTAGACAAGTCAGTTTTGCTCCCAAAAGGATGCTAGCCTGAAAGGTGCATAGAAACATAATAGTTAAATGCAGCTTTCCTGAAGCTGGATTTTTTCTTAAATTGCCAAGATGTGTGATACTTAAGCAGGAGCAAGCTTCTTGTCATATTCTTTCTTAGACAGATCAGGCTACTGGGAACATTCCAGTTATTCCTGCACAGTATCACTGAGAAAGGCCTACAATATAAATAGAAAAGAGTGCAAACAAAATCGCTGGGTGTGCAATAACATTGTTTTCTCCTTACAAAGAACTAATTTAGCCCTTGGTGTTACCTTTTTAAAAAGTTATGCTATGTTCCCTTTCCCGGTCTTTATATTGCTGCAAAATACTAATTGACATTTGAGGAGTCCACTTATAAGATGGGTGGGATAGGATTAAAGTACCAGTAATATAACTGATTTTAACTTAAAACTGCTTAAAGTCTTTCACTGTGATTTAGTTGGTAGGGGCAGGAACTGTTGTACTAAAACCATTGGTCTTAAACAAAAGTAATGGGAATGTTGAAGTTTAACTGAAAATCTTGAATACTTCAGCAGCTCAGCTTCAGCGGCACCTAAATTGAAGTCACAGATTGATTCTTGGCAAATATTTATTTCAAATATAAAGAAACAACTGGAAAAAGTAGAGGTAAGGCATAATTTCTCTTAACAAGCTTTAAGTTGAACTTTGAAAATCAAACTAGAATAAATACCTTAAATAATTTTGCATTCCTTTTTTTTAAAACACCAGTAGCTTGTCCTGCAAATACTGAACTCCATTTTTTGTTGTTGTTGACAAAAGACAGATACAGTTTTAAGTCCAGATTATTTAAGTATAGTTGAGTTTTATATCGAATATCTTCAGTTTTATAAAGGCAAAAATCTCTCCTTTATACACTTACTTCAAATTTGGATCCCACATTAATGAGTCTAGTCTCTTGGTTCTTTTGTATTTTTTGAACTTTAGAAATCCTTGCAACTTCTTTAAAAGCAATAGAAGACTCGAAAAATGAAGATGTAAAATGTCTAAGCTGAGTTTTAAGAACTAGAAAGGGTTTACAAAACCCTTTCAAGCATCAATGCAAGTATTTAAATACATAAATAAATTTATGTTACTGTAGCAAATGGCAGCCTTACATCTCCATTTGAAAGGCCTGGTATCTTCGGTGTTTTGCAAAAAAGTAGTTGTGTTAATGCCATTTCAAATAAAGACCGAACTTTAGTTAATGATGATGTGGAGGATAACTTGTTTGCCTTCTGCAGGCTGAGTATGAAGAGAAAATTCAGATGGTGAAAAATGGTGAACAGAACTGCCTCACTAAAATGGAAACTGTGGAGCTTCCTTCTCCTCCCAGTGTCTTAGTACGTATCTTACATTTGATAACAGTTTGTTAAGACATTCTTTAAGTTTGCATTGGCATGGCTATCCGTTACAGGATGTGTACATGAAGAACTTAAGTATGTAGCCTTGAATACAAAGTAACCTGGCTCTCCATATGTCCAGGTAATGTTCAAAAGGAAAAGGTGACTGAAGATTAGTCTGATGAAGTCCAGTGAGCAGCACATTCTCAAGTCCTTTGAGAGGCTTAAGCTGTTTAACTTTAAAATGCTTCATGTTCTGTCTGAACTGGGACTAATATTTTTGCATTTCATGACTTTCCTGTAGCACCAAAATCCATAGGGACAAGGCCCCATTACATCAACATGTGTAACTGATTACGAATACCAAAATCAACTTCCAGTCCTATCTGTTATGAACTAGATGGAGTATAGCCATTTATGGAAATGCATCTGTAATGACTACATACCAGATAAATACTCTTTCATGGGCCAACAGTACCACAAATGCTTTGCTCAAATCACATCAGTTACTTCCAAACCCTGCGATTGTTTCTGGTGCAAGGACAAAGTCCCTATGAGTCAACGGTCCTTGAATTGTTCATCAGCAGGGTGGTGGGGAGACACATGACAGTGATCAAATACATCCAAGGTAGCTGCAGCAGCGGTGCAAACAACCTACATGCTGCCATTCACTGACAGGGAAATTGAAACCAGGGCACAGAGCTGATGCCCAGCAGTAAAAACAAATAGGATTCAGGAACCACTGGATCCGGAACAGTTTGGACTAAGGAAAAAAGGGTCCAGTCATCTCCCAAAATAGCAGAGATTATTGACTCAGTAAAATGCATTCATAGTGCACGCACAGATGACATTCCTGAATTCATTGAAGATGCCACACAATTTTTCATGTCTGTTCTCTGCAGAAAGTCATGGCTTTTCTTTTGTTTGTTTTTGGGATAATGTACATTCAAGGCCCTGTTCTAATACTGTATATTTATGAGTGTTGCTTCAGGTTTTCTGGACTTACAAAAGTAATAGTTACACTTATGCTCTCCTGCACTTCTTTTCTTCCCCATTCTTTTCTAGGTATCTCCTTTCTACTTATTGGCACAGAACTCCTAAGAATATGTAGATAAGTTGGTTACCATCCTTAGGGTACCATCAGTTTACAAGTTTGGAAAGAGAGACTTTTGAGCCTTTTGTTCAGCATTTGGTCTATTTTTACTGCAGTGGTACAGGAGTAACCATTTAGAAGAGAGATCTGTAAATCTTTCAGCTTTCAGAGGAATTTAATAGGCAAATACTGAGTCTAAATGAAGACGACTTGATGAAAAACCCTTTTTCTCCCTGCTTAATTAATTTCATTGATTAATTAAATACCTTTACAGAGAAGGTAAAATATAACTTCAAAAAGATGTTATAACTAAAGAACAAGAACCAGCAGGTTTGACTATGAAGAAATGTAGAATTCTAGTTTTGTGTGTTAGAAAGCAACCTTCCTAGAGCAGTCAAGTTCTGAAACAAATAGCAGTCATGGGGTCAAACAACTAAACTTACTTTAAGGAGTTCTTTCCATTTATGGAAGAGAGTTGTTAGTGCAAAAAGAAGTCTCCCTGGATCATGTCAATTCCAAGTTTTTCAAGATGATGACTATAGCTGACATGTGTTTCTATTTAAAAAAAACAATTACACTGGATTATATATAGAGTATATTATCTGTTAAAAGCAGTGAATTTTGTCTTTTCAAATTGATGGCACTTATTTAAAGCAATTCTGTTTCTACCACCAACTGCAAGCTATGTTTCTGTACAGCTTAGTGCTGTCCTACAGCTATGCATTCCTCAGCAAAGCAAGAATAAGCTAAAGGAACAGTTTGTTATGTGCTGTTCTACTCGATGCTGTTTCAAACAGGTTGTCTATATGTAGTACCTACTAAAGAGCACCCTTGTGCAATATTTTTACCTATGCAAAGCAAATTGACATAAATTGAGAAGATCTCCCAGTTCCTTAGCATGAGCAAATGTGTCATAGTTCCGGCTGCAAATGCTTGAGAGTTCTGCTCAATTTTAATCCCTGTGAAATCTGTTTATTTCCTAGGCAGAACAAGGCAGACCTCCAGTCAGTGATCCAGCTGTTGGCATGGATTCCTCTGCATCTGCACATCCTAATTTACTTTCTGCATTTTCAAGTTCTGAAGATCCAGGTCCAACACGTGCTTCATTTAATACACAAGCCGGAGTTAAGCCAGCATATGCGAATCCTAAGGCTTGTTCTGCAAGTGGTGGATTGGTGAAAATGCACTCCAAACCTCTGGAAGGATCATATTCTGATAAAGTTTCAGCAACTTGTCCATCAGGGGTTTCTGGAAGTAATACTCAGAATGTCCAGCCAAACCAGAACCACCAAGATGACTCAACTATACCACTGAGGCCTTCCAGACTTCCAAGCAACAAAATGCTTCCAAAAGCACTTGAAAATATTATTGTGCGTCTACAGAGTATATTCCCAAACTATAGCAGGTATGGTTTTTAATGTGTGCAGTATTAGGTTGGGTAACAGAAGGTCTGAAACATAGTGATAAAAGTACAAAAAATAATTGATTTCTTAGTAGATAGCTTCTGTTTCATGAGAACAGTAACGTTAGTTGTTAACGCTCCCTTCTTTCCCATTCAGTGAGACATTCATTAAGGGAACAGACCTACGGTGTTGACTTATATGTTTTGGGCTTTTTTCCAGTTAGAACCACCAGCAAATACAAGTATTATTCTTATCATTTTATTGTTTGGTGTTTTTTTTCTTTTACTGTTAAGGTAGCTAGATCCTGGTTTATTCAGAGGTATTGGAAGCAGGTACTTGGCATGGTTCATTTGAGAAGTTATCTTTTAAAGGCTGTCAGTCAAACGTGGAAGCTACAGTGTACCCTAATGCTGCTAACAGCCATAGTATTGCCAGTCAGTAATTACGTCTTTTTTTTTTGTCTCTTCAGTTCCGACTTTACTAGTTTCATAAAAGATGTACAAAGAAGAAATGGGAATACGTTATCAGGTTTGAGCTTGGATGAGATTCTAAGCAGAGTGACAGAACTCATTCTGGACCAGCAAAATAAGGTACTGTGGTGTATGTGGTTGCTGCCGTTTCTACTGTGCATCTCTGACAGAGGAAACAGCACAGTCCAGAAGAGAATGCAAACTTTCCTTTGCTGTCGAGCTCTGAAATACAAACTTATTCAAAATTCTTTCCACATACCTGTGTAGGCACCAGATTCAACAGGGAGACCTGTGAAGTCAGTGTCTTCTGCTTCACCAGCACAGACTGGAACTCGGAGTCGGGAATTACCTGCAGCAGAAAATGTGCCCAGCCCAGCCAAGGGAAGACCTGTGCTTAAAAATGCTTCGAGTAAAAATCCATCTCAGCCAAATCTCCAGCCCTGGGGAAATGTTGGAGCAACACCCAAATCTAAATGGAAAAAACTAGATGATACAGTAAGTTCTCCACTGTTTCAATGAGAACGTGAAGCTGCCATATACTTCTTATAAGACATGAAATAATCAAAGTATTGCTGGAAAAATAATTGACTTGTTGATTTTGTGTACAAAAGCTTAAATATAACTGGTTAAAATTAGTAACATTATTAACTTGCTGGCATTTGCTGATTAATTGTTGCTAGTTTTCAAATAACTTAATATTTTATGTACAGGTCTCCAGTGATGATCCTTGCACAATATGTCATGATGAGCTAAGCAGAGACTTGTGTGAACTAGAATGTGGGCATCATTTTCACAGAGAAGTAAGGATTTTGTTCTTAGTGCTTAGAAGCAAATGTTTATGAACTCTGTTCAGTTACACTGTTGTTCCACTTTCTAAAAGTAACCCTCCTCCCCCTTTACCCTTCAGTGCTTAAAGAACAGTGCACAACTTTTACATACTTTGTACACCAAGACTTGCTGTATATATGGTCTTAGCGTGTCAGTAGGTTTCCAGTTGTAGATTTGTAACTAAAATGATAATTCACTATAAACCCTGCATCTGCCACCTGATAGCAGTTGCATGTAAACATCGTGTAGTAGGAAAGTCAGAATTATGTTAGAATAACTTGATACTTCTGCCTGTGACCTCTTCCCTGTACCTTATTTGTTTACTGCTGATTTGTTAGTGCAGAATTGGTGCAAATGTAAACTGATCAGCACAGTGTTAGAACTGGAGAACAGTTTTCTAACTGCAAATTTTAGTAACATAGAACATGTTGGAAAATTGTGTATTAGTAACAATTATTAACGTACTTGAGCTGAATTCTTTTTACCAGAGTTTGTGTCCTCAACATCACCTTCTTCTTCTTGCAGTGCATTAGAACATGGCTTAAGCAACATTCAAGTACCTGCCCTATCTGCCGCGTTCATGCTCTCTTACCTGAAGACTTCCCTGAGCTTCCTGCACGGAACAGATATGCCTAAACCTTGTTTTATTTGAACGTGTTATAAAGTGGCTGCAGAATAACCACTGTGATAAGGAACAGAAACATGATGCCTAGAAAGAGACAGAACCCTGGTTTTATTGAAAATGGTGGTAGAACTCAGACTAATTAATTATGTAACACTTAGCATTAAGCCGTAAGATGCTGGTACTGCCACAGCACCTGCAGAATCATGTCAGCTTACTCCAGGGTCGAGCACTCTTCCTGATTGCTGCCTAAATGTGTGATGCCCATGTAGTTAAGAGGCCGGCAGCACACAAAACTGGTAGGGGTTTTGGGGTAAGAGGGATTTAATCTGCTCTATCTACTTTTCTGAAATGATGGTGCATAATTCCTGTGAAGATGGTGGTTTTCTTCAGAGCTTACACCACACTGAAAATAAATTCTAATATCAAACGAGTAGGTGACTTGAATGACAGACTAGCAGAATTTGGAACAGCCAAAACATTACCTTCCTCTGGCATAAACAATTACAATGTAACTGCAGGATTCAAATCAGGCTTCAGTGATCATTATGAATGCAGGTCATATAATTGCAGCTCCTTTCTCTGCATAAATCCATAGCTAATAATTAAAATCATTTAAATTATGACTTTTAGTAATATTTTGAAGCAAGAATTTTTAAGTATTCATGTGATTCTTTCTGTTTATGTAGTATTGAGTTGGAACACTATGGCTTAATTCTTTAATCTCAAAATATGGTTTGAACTTCCTTTGTCGCTGAAGAGCTGATTTGTTTAAATCAGAATTACAGGATTTTTATTTTTGACAAAGCAACACTCCATCTGTATTCTGCACATCATCAACAGTGTGAGGTACAGAATACAAACAGCTGAAAGAAAGGGTATCCTACTGCTTTAAAAGGCTGTGCTTGTTGGAGTACCTTCGTTGCTGTAAAATTTGTCTCAGACAAAAGACCAGGACAAGACAGCGTACAGTTCAACCACTGAAAATAGCATGACTGCAGTTTAGATACAAGCAGTATTAAATTGATTATATGAGATTATTGATTATATGAGATGAAGTTAGCTAATTCTAGGGATCATTTGTTCCCCCATGTATGTATCCTCCAGATTAAGTTTTAAACTGTTCTGTGATAAATCATTATATTGATTGGCACTTGGATCAAAAATAAAATTACTGCTGCAGCTGATATGGGTTTTTTGTGTAATATTTTTGCTAAGTCTGAGTTTTGGGTGAGTAATCCACTCTATACTAGAGAGCTAAGGCACCTGATGCCTGAAGGATTAGGTACGGTGCTGTTTAGCATTACAGGGCTTGCATCCTTTTCAGCTTCCATTATTTTCTAGGGGGGAGGGAGGGGGGATACATATCTATCATCATCTCAGCTATTCACAAAAGCAGCCTAGGACACTTTTTGAGGAGAGGTATCCTTGACCTGCTAAGCAGTGGCAAAGCAGTCCCACACGTGCCACATTTGACAGGGTTCTCCAAATAGAACCTAAAGTGCCTTGAGGTAATAAGGGCACACTGGCTGTGGAAGTGGTGCACGGTTTTAGCATTGAACTGGTCTTTACATATACTTGCTTGCTATCAACCAATCTGATTTTTGCTATACCTACACCACACACAAGACCCCAAGTGCCTAAATTTGGAGGCTGGTTGTTGATCCATGTTCCTCTTCTCTTCCCTGACTCCCATAAGCTGCAAGGATTATGGTGACTTCCAGAGGTAGTAGATTCACATCTCTGAAAAGGGAGCCTTAGAGCAGACAGCTCCCCAGACCACGACCGCACAGGGCCGGGGGAGCGGAGCAGCTGATCTCTCCTGGCTGCTGGGGCCCGGGCCCGAGGAACGCCAGATCCCGTTTGAAGGTGGGAGGCGATGGCGGTTCTGGGAACGGCAGGTGGCGCTCTTGAAACATGGGATAGGGGAGAGAGCAGCTTCTGTTTTCCAAAGATTTCCTGATCTGAGGGAAGTGTTACGTTCTAGTCAATGGCTTTTTCTTCCCCCCCACAAGACTGTTGTAAGACATTGAAAGAAGAAGCTCAGATGTTTATTCCTAAAATACAGAGGATACAGAACCAGGGCCTAACCTAGAATTGTATTTTCCTGCTTGGCAATGCTAGTGGATAAAGCTAAAGGAAGTTACTTTTTGGCAGTTTTCTTAATTTTGGCTTTTCAGGTTGTCATCTTTATACTTATACTTTATAGATGTAGCCTGCCTCCATCCCACATAGTAATTCACTATTAGAATGAAACATCAAAATCTAGAACCCATTTGTGTTAGTAAAGTTATTTCTTGCTGAAATAGTTTTCCTATATCGTTCCCTTAAGATGTATAGTTACAAACATGGTAATGTATTACCTTAACTTATTCCTTTCCTGGCATTTACATGTATACTTTAAATTGAACAAGTGACAATATTAACCCACCTGATTAAAAAGAGTGACTGGCTGGTCTCCCTTGGAATGGTTATTCATATAATGACAAGTCACATCCTGAAGGCACAAGGTGCCACAGCATGAAGTTTTTAATGCAGTTCTCTACCATCCATATAGGTTGGTTTGCAACAACTCAGCGGTGCTATTTGTCACATGATAGCCTTTTCTTTTTCATGACAAAACTGAGCTGTAGAAGTTTCACAAAAGGATGATGATATAATGCAAAAAATAAGTATATTCTCGAGCTAAAAAAAAATTTGAGCTTCTTCAGTGTTTTTTTACACAAATATCAAAGATAAAGTAAGGACGTCATTGTTTCTCTAAACCCAGGGAAAAAGCACATGCAAAACAACATCTTCAGTTCTAAGCATTCCTCCATTACAGACTTGTATTCCCCATTTGGCCAAAAAACAGTTGGTGTTACTTCACATCACCTATTTGGCATTCATCTTACAATAGTCATCACACAACACCTTCTTGCATTGTTGTAGCACCATTTATTAGACCTTCAAAGACACTATTCAGT